CTATAGGAATGGCGCGTTCGTCAAGTGCTTCTTTTAGGCGATCTTTCCAAGGTAGATGAGGTAACTTGCGCACTTCGCTCAGTGAGTGGCGAAGACGAACTGTTGATAGCAGGACAGCTTCTGTCGCACCTGCTGAGTCTAGTGTTACTCGAAGAATTCTAGGTTCACCAGATTGCACTGAGGTCGGGTGACGCTCTACGGGTTGAAGCATTGCGGGCTCAACCCGAATACGAATCGAATCGCAGATGGAACTCCACTGGTTACGATCGTTTTACAACTTTCCTTTTTTGTGCTGGATTTTGACTCGGCACATTGGTGTACTCGAGAGTTAACGTAATGTGGTTTTGTCTAGCGGGTGTTGGATTTATAGATTTGCACTTTGGGCTGTTTAGAAGGCACCTGCGGATTTGACGGGGAAAGCTGATTTGCACAACGTGTGCTCGGTACAGAAGATGGACCTACGTGTGTCGCTTCCGGTGCGCTTGTCCAGGCAATCGACGTGTACGTTACCTACTTGTTATCTGCACCGGATTGCCTTCGGCTCTGAGCTGTCGGTGTCATGGCTGAATCCCCAGGTGAAGCGTCTATGGTTGAAGTGGAAGCAGGCACGTTTGAGGCTTGTCCAATTATGGGAGTGAGATGATCCAGTGGATTTAGAGACACAGACGCTACATTGAGGTTGGAGCGTCTGGCTCTCTTCTTCGGATTAAATTCAGAGTCTACTTTGGCTGGATTAGGTATTATCTTGGCCATATTTACCTCCGTGGGATCGATCTAAGTATTTACAAAATGGGTCATTATCTCAGTCATTCTATCACATTTTTCATGAGTTAAGGCAACTGGAACGACTTGGCATGTTGCGCAGAACCAGATTGTGTCAGCAAGTTTGTTTGTCTCTCTCGCTTCTTGGACGGATTTGCCTACACTTGTGAAAAGTACGATCTAATGCAGCTAGAACAGGACGTTACTGCAATTGTCTGCTCAACAAAGGCGACGTTGAACCTTTGGAATACTAGTCGTCCTCTTATCGTTTGCAGCATGGCCTATCTGAGGGCTGACCTACATAAGTGTTTTAGGCGCCATGCTTGACGCACAAACACGTCACAACACGCACAATAATAGAGTTGTTCAACCTCTCCAAGATCCGTCGGTTCCAACAGATGGCGGTCGTAAAGCGCACAATCAACGGGCTCGCAGTTGAACGCACACATCCACATGAAGCGGTCTGCCTTAAGCGACGATACAGGTGGCGTGCTGATAAGCGTCCCTAGAGATGTTCAGTTGATGAACGAAGTAAAATGAATATGACGTTGTTAAGCTGCAACTTGCAGGATGGTTGCCGCGTAATTTCGGAGCTCTCAGCTTCTTCTTTCGAATGAGACCAAAATCTTCCCGAAAAACCGGTTTGATGTAGTTACACACGTGGAACTCGGCAAAGAGTATGCCAAAAACTGGGAACTGGAGCAGGAGTATAATCCACAAATGTTAGATCCAAGAGTTGGGAAGCACTGATTAGAGCTCGTCGAACTGGTTCGAACGAGCGCACACACTATTGTGTGGGGAGTTTTAGAATGGCCACAGATGGCAAAGCGAGAGCCGAGTTAAAGTGCGGCCGCACGGCACTAAAGTGTTGGCTCACATCGGGGTAGAATGCTAGTACTTTCTATTGAATATATCGTGCGCTTGCCGGAATATTTTAGGTCTTGGAAGTTTTCACTTCTTTTTTTTACTTAGCTTAATCACGTTTTCCCACAATGCATATGGAATATTTGGCGGTAATTTTTACAGCGATCTGAATTATCCGTGGCTGTTTGTTTTGATTGGATCACTATGTTGAGGAATTTCTAACCGCGTCCCGTTTTATTTTGATGTGAGAAATGTCCTGTTGAACGGTCGAGCCACACGCCATCTCTGGAAACCTTTTCACGAGTAAATAGTTATTCCTCAAATCCAGATTTCCATTCTCTTCCGTGTCGTTGAAATTATGTTCTGGTTTTCCATGCATGAAGATTGTTTTTGGTAGTGCTACTTGTTTTGTGCTCCTCTGGTGTTTTCTTATTTTTGTAAGCTCTTAATGACATATATATACTTGCGTATCCCCCGGTATCCGTTGCGTCCTGTTTTTGCAGCGAATGTAATATTTTCTTTATAAATGGCGGGTTCCAATATCATTATTCAAAGTTCGAGAGATGACTAAATCCTAGTGGGTTTGTGTCTTTGTTTTCCACGTTCATCAAAATGACAAAATAATAATCACGTTGTTGTTAATCAAACTATTTACAACGGCAGTAGACCTGGGGACATTTGAAAAACAACAGTATGGGCATTTATGTCGAATACCTGCTTCGTTGAGCTGCAATTTTGGATTATCCTTTACCATTGCTTTTTGTCGGTGGTGATAAGCTGATGTTTGAGGCTGTATTTGCATTAGATATACTTTTACATACTGGACCATAAGCGTGACATCCTAGCTGACCTCTACAGCAATCTCTGCATATGTGATTGTTGCTTCGGGTGACTTGAGTTCGGCCAAAAACCTTTGCGCTGCAGATATCCGGCGTTCTTTCTCCCCATCCTTTCTAATGTGGTAAAGTATTTGGGCCCACAGAAATGGATTGATCACGCCCTTCGGGTGGTTCATGATTTTTGCCTTCTTTGTACCGCTTGTTTATCAGAGCTTCCGTATATTCATGCTTGCCGTTCTACGGAAATCAAGGGAGTCAATGGAGATAAGGGCTATTGCCCAGAGGCCACTAAGTCTCTGTGGCTCAGGCTTTCTTCCAAAGAAGTTGTCTTGGATTTTCTCCGCTGTTTAGCCTCCGCTGCGAACCGACCGCGCTTTCTGACTAGGATATGCGTACACGTAACAAATATGATGGTCAAACACGATGTACTAAGACAAATAACTTCCTGGGAGCCACTCCGCTTGCACCTGTTGTCTTCAGACTTTGTATGAACCGTGTAAGCTGGCTAAACTTATTGTAACTAATCGATTGTATTCTACTGGCCCACAGGCACCAATCTCCTGCAGCACTTTTTGATTCATATCCACCTTTTTCTGCAGTTCAGCATGGTATCGTTACCTGATCTATTGAGTCGGTTCAGCTTCCGCACTTTTCTTTCCTTGAGCGCTGCGCATATCGGCCAGAAAAGCATTGTGGATAATAAAGTCAAGTGGCACGAATTGGATTGCTCTGATTGGATGCACAGTCTGTGTAATGTGTTATCTAGATTCGACGGCTAACACGTTCACAGATGAGGTCTAGTGACAGGGTTATGGAGCATTTCCCATTCTAAACTGGATGAGCAGCATCGCACCACAGCGTAAGAGACAGCCACTGCGAGTTGAATTGAAAAAAAACAGAAACTCCAGTTAGCTCGATTGCTACAAGTTCTTTCGAAGGAATGTAAAAACGTAACAGGTATTTGAAAATTTAGGTGCTTGCAAGCTTGTTTTAGGGACAAATCCATCGCTAAAGCGAACACGAATCAACAGCATATGTAATAAATTATTTCCAAAGACGATTTTATTCTTTTATAACATAAGTAAATCTGAGTTTAACAAATGTAAGTGATAAAAGCTACATAAAATGTTAAGAACGACTTATCATTGCGGCTGTATGGTAGCGAACATGCAAACCCTTTGACAGATTATTGCATCCATTCATTTTATCGCTTGGATTTCTCGGTAGTGCGCGTTCAGGTTTCTTGCGTTTTGTTCATTTTTCGAGTGGCACTCCTTTTTTCATAAATCGTGCAATAATGTGGAAGCCTTATGTACAATGCTTAACCTTTAGATCGTGCTGATCTGCGTAGGAGTACAACGGCAGTACCTTGCTAGTGGTCATTTCGTCATTTGGTACAAGGTATCGAAAATATTCATATGGTTACGTTTGCTGACATACTGATTGGATCTTATGTAATTCTGGACCGATTTGTTGCAGTTTCGGCTTTATCAAGTAAATCTGTGGAGAAATCTGATGATATAATTTTACATAAATCAAGTTGTATAACATGTTTAGTGAAGTATTTAGAGAACGGTATTCTCCAGAAAATGTACTGGAAATCATCCCTTAATAAGTGCATGTAAGATAGCTCAGAAGGCAAATTTAGGAAAAATAGCACTTTAGGGCACTTATTACGGTACATAGAATAATACGAAGTATCATAGCTAAGCAAATTGCGAAAATACATTTCAGGTTTTTTCGATCTACTAAAAATTCCCGGAAAGAGTTGGTTATGATAAACCACTCGTTGAGCTCTGTCTTCTATGTACCAGTACAATGTTAACTTATCCGAACAGCTTCCTCAAGCGTACTGATTTATGCAAGCCAACAATAACACAGAAGTTTGATATCAGATAATTAGCATTGTTCTTTTTTATGTGGCTTCAATCAGGTGGTTAGCGAATTAAAGTGTGCGACGATTTCAAAGCACAACATAATTATGTCTAAAACGAAATTAAGAGTTGTGGTTATTTGGCACTACGTATATTGTTCTCCATTAGATTCGTGGTTTTAGATATGTAAGCATTCGTCACTAAATTTGGGTTTGATGTCAGCTTTCATTTATTGTTTATTTTTATAAGGGTAATTACTGCATGCCCGAACAACCGATGCTGTTCTTGTAATAACTTGATAACTGTTCTCACTGAAGGCAAATGCAAAATCAGCATGACAGATTTTCAACTTCTGGATATGATCTGAAAGGGATCCGGGGTTCTTACATCATGTACAGTAGGATTTTACAAAAAGGGTGTGCTGCATTGACACTTCGTGTGCATAGCTCGGATTCAAAATATGGTAACTAAAATGTGCTTGTTACTGTACATACAAATTAAAATTACGCCACCCAGACGAAATTAGTTATTTTCCATCATTGATATGAAATATAATGTTTGGATATCATTTCGTCTGAAAGACGCAATCCATTAACATGCAAATATTTAAGGTAAAATTACGTTTTAATTTGTTTTAGATGTTTTCTCCGTTTCTCTGCAGGATGACCTGGAAAAGCTTATACGGGGTATCCTGGAAAATCTACTTACCAGTTACGGTGTTAGAAACCTGTTGGACGAACTAACACCCTTAGGATCAGATATCGAATCACTGGAGACAACTGCCAAGTTGGTGGCGAGTACACAAAGCGTAGTCATTGCAGACATCAGCACATTTCAAGGGAAAATGTCGGCATACCAGTACAGTCTATACAAGTCCTTTTACTCACTATGCCCCAAACTTTCAAATGCCACTCTGAAGTGCATGCAACTCAGCGTAAGTAATTAGACAAACAGCTGCAACAAAATTGCTGATGCTTTGCCAAACGTAGGTCAAAAATGATTCGCTTCCTTTTATCTGTTAACTGTTGAACACTTATTAACCAGTTTTACACTTAAAGAAATAAAGGCAGTAGCTTAGGTTGCAAAGGCGCCTACCAGAATCCATCAATTAAACGGACCTTCTTGGATAGCTGTTTAAAATGATCCTGTCTGATGTGAATCGAGAACATTTATTCCACTGGGAGTCTATCGGAAACAGATGAGCATTGGATCTTCGCCAGTAGGGGTTATCAAATTTGCATGGTACTCGGATGTTTTTTAATAAGTGGAGAAGGAATACATGAAAAAACCAGTGGAATTACCCCACAGGTGCAAAATTCTGACTTGAGAAAGCACAAAGCTACGTCGTGTATGTCATTGTTGCGGAAAAAACGGCGCCAAAGGTTTGTTCCCAGCTTATGGAAACAAGAACAAATTTCAGTTATATAATGCAAACTAATCTCTCAGACAGGCAGCAGGATGCTAATGTATACGCATTGAGGTCATTTAGCGGTGAATACCTTTCAGTTCATGCAACCGTTGATAATGATCAAATTGATATCTGCTAACATCCTATGCCTTGATCAGCTAAAAACTTTGCTGTTTAACAACAATGAGTTCTACCATTGCATTACAGCCAGTCTGAATATTGTAGACAGCACTGTAAAAGATCTCAAATTGTCATGCTGATTCTCTTCATTTCAGTAAGCGTTATGGAATTGCTAATGTTTAACTTTCCTTGTGCAAAAGATGGATATACGAGAGATGCACAAAAAGAAACCGAACCTTTGAGTTAGCGAGCCAACCGACAGAGGGAGCGAACTGCGGCTACTGAGCCCATGTGGAGGTTGGTCTAGGAGACACACTGCCATAGGTCACATTTCGCTCTGGCAGTTAGTTGGCGAGCTACAGCCGTTGCAGTGAGCACGTGCGCAAGCTTATAGTCGGATTAGTGCAAAAGAGACAATAAAAGAGCATGAAGAACGCCGAGTATGTGTGACATTTTGCTAAAAACTTTGCAAAACTTTTACCGTGACGTTTTACTTGCTTAGCCAATAACACGGGGAGGACAGTAGGTGTTGCACACAGTGCTAGAAGTGGTTTAAGCGATTTGAATACGGCAGGATGTCGGTCGGTAAAGATCCCAAGCCGGGACGATCTTCCACCTTATTCGACTATGACTATGTCGAAAGAGCTCCTGCTTTGACCCATCGAAATCCTTCTCTAAATGTTCGAGAAGTTTTTGACAAAGTGGGCATCAGCGTAGGATCGTTTCATCAAATTCTAGCGCGTTTTTGGGATGTTGTGCGCAGGAAGAGGCCTGAACTGTGGGAAACCTAGACTTAGATGTTGCATCACGAAAATGAGCCTGATTCACGCATTGCTCCTTTCCCGCAAAATATCACACTCCCGTTGTGGTCCATCTACCATATTCTCGAGAACTAGCTCCTGCAGATATTTCCTGTGTCCCAAACCTAAAACCACGTTATAAGGACTTCGTTCCTAAACCATCGAGGATATTCCGGATAATGCGACAAGCGACCTGCGTGCCGTCTCAGAAAGTGCGTTACAGGAAGCATACAAAAATGGAAGCACCATTAGGAACGGTGTATTGCCAGTAGATAGAACCACTTTGAGCGGGAAATTGCTTAAAATGTTTTGCAATGGGCAATAGAGATGTTATAGCAAAAGTTTGGTTTCTTTTTGATCACCCCTAATATGTTCATTTTTTATACGCAAGACATGTGTGACCACCAATTTGCTTAGTTACTCTCTAAACAAACATCCTAATATCACAGATGTACGTTCTTATGTTCAAATTTATATGCCATGAGCGGATGTCACCTGGATAAAATTTGGGAAACTATTTTTGCTGCAAAATGTAATATAATGGGACGTACTGATTAAATAGATCACACTACATATAAGTGAGGTTATGAGCTAAGTGGCTTATATAATAAGAAATATTCCACTAATTTAGTGGCTTAATTGACTTCAAGATGCACGTGTTAATAAGGACATATATTTCTTCTACCACTTCTTCTTAACCAATGAAAGGTGTAGCCTGTAAAGCGATCTCATAATAGCAATTCTAGAGTTAATGCTAACGTTGAAATAAGCCTTTCTCACTGTGAAAGAAACGACATTTCTTGTTCCATCTCAATGGCTTCGATGAAAATGTGTAATTATAACGTTTGGTATATTATCGAAACCACATGTCTTAGTTTGAGGAATACAAAAATATGGTAAGGAAAATCTAGCAAGAATCTTGGTACAACTATTATTTGTTGGATTTATGTTCTTAGGAAGACTGGAATCGCATGCCTTTTGTTCGCTTTCGAATCTGGATGCACTGAACTATCATCCGCTTTGCCAGTGTTTTGGAGAAGAAAACAGATATTAAAACTTTTCTGAATTCCGTGGAAGATTTTGTGCGACTGCTGATACCTGGTGGAAATCCTATCCACAAAACTTCGGTATCAATAATATCACACAAATATTGCGTAGCTACCTATTTTATGCATTAAAATTCGGCTCTTAGTTTTGCTTTTTTTCGCCAATCAATCAGTACAGGAAGCTGTTAGAAGAAACGAGACAGCCAAGCAACTCCGTGTTGCAATGAAAGTGCTAGTTTGGGGAAAAAGCGCAGACTCGGACTTATCTACAAGAAAAATAACAAATGCCCAATCCAAATTTTATTTTAATATACTTACTTAATATCCGGTTCATGTTTAAAAGGAGCACCAGTGTTTGGCTCTTATCACTATAGTGCACAATACAGGAAGTACAACAAAGGCGAAGCAGGAATTTATGCTAACATTTTGATGCCGACAAAAGCGATATTCATCTTCTTACATTTTACCACGCTACGTTATATGTGTGCAGACATTTAGGTCAAGAAGGAATCGCCTTTATAACAGCGGTTCAAAGTTAAGTTGCCCGCTAACCATTTGATCGTTTCTTAACCATATCCAACCTCACTGGGCATCATCCTCGGTTCCTGGCCGTAACCCACTTTTGCAGTTACTTCTCATTCAACGGCTACCTCGGGAGATGGAACTGACGGTTTGCTACAGGCTTGGCGCTTTCCGTTCGCCTTACAGAAATGCACGTTTGTGCTGTAACGGAAGTAGGGTGAGAAGACAGAGATGGACTTTAGCCTGGCTATGTGTTGTCTAATATAGGTTTCTTCTCCGTTGTTGGAGTTCCTCCTGTTTTGCTTGCTACAAAATGGAGAACCTGCCATCGGCAAACCAATGGCAACCTAAGAATGATGCCTCGATTGCCTTCTAGCCTCCAACTGTCTCCACATCCACGCATGACATGCTACCCTTATCAACAAACCTTCTAATGGATAACTCGGGCCCACCATACTCGCACTTTCCTACTGTGTGCACCATGCTCGAACGCAAAGATTTAGACGATCACAAGACGGACAGAGATCATTCCCCAATACTTAGTACATTTTCAGTGATTCTGATTAATGCCAGATTCATTATCAACAAATTTCATGTTATAAATACACTTGCAGAGTCCAATGACCCATAGCGATCCTCGTCACGGAAATTTGATATTCTTCAGATAACTTGACTCAACTCTGATGATTCCAAACTACACCTACACGAACTACATCTACACTGTTTCGAGAAGATCGCTGTGACAGAAAAGGTAGAGGGTGTATTATACACCTACACGAAACATTTACAGCCAAACCTATAGGCTACTCACAATTTGGCTGTCAGTTGCGAGTGCCTCATCTCGCTTTCATGTATCTACAACCAACCGAATGCGTCTAACGTAAGTATCACCAACATCACCTCTGCGTATGACTTCGTAGCAGAGTTGCCACACAGCCAGAAGATTATTGCTGGCGATTTCAGCCTATTGGAAATACGCTGGTCACCGAAACCAACGTCTACCTTACACGCCTTTTGTCTTTCTTTCATTAGAGCTGCGGGCTGGACGCAATGGATTATCAGTCCAACCAGGTACACTGATGTACAAACTTAATAATCACATTGAGGATACCCAGTCCACAGATGAAGAACTTAAACAATCTCCCTGGCAGCGACCAAAACATGCTCCGACTGAGTTTCGAAATTAAAATGGTCACTAAACTCGCCTCTACAACGCCAGTTGCTTTCAGCAGTTCATTCGTTTCTCCGAATGGGATGCATTTCTCTTCTCTACCAAAGTGTACGCTGCTGTGGAGCATTTCTATAAACAAATCCATCATGCTATAACCCTCCATCCTCCACAATGTATTCATACCCCTTGTAAAGACTTGCTTGCCAAACTAACTTCTCGTGGTGCCAGCTGAGTGGATCGGGTGTACCCCGTTCCAGCAAAGTGTTCGGCGACAATGTTCCATCTCCGTGGGACATTGTATTCCGGCAATTGTGCTGACTTCATGGGGATTATTGGGCCCCTGTTTAGTAATCTACCAACAAAGACGCATAAACTGAACAATCAGTCAACGCCCTCCAATGGGCGCGATTCCGTAGATTCGCCCAGCTGCCTCGCGGTAGGTTATTTAGCCAAAGGCTCGGGGTGGAGTCCCCTAAGTCAACTCCCTACTTCGGCTTGGGCAATCGGGTAGTATCACGCCTTCTCACAAAACTATGGACTGTATTACAGCGTGCTCATCAGCTACTGTTGCTGCTAGTCACTTTCACGCGACTTCATCACACGTTTCATGTTTGTTTGCTAACAATCTTCACTTTTCATTACCCGATTCATGTGTTCAACAATCTAGCTACGATTCTGGTTGCGCCGTAGACCAAGAAGTCCAACCTACGGCTCTACTTTGTCCCCGATCCTCATTCCGTCTGGCATGCTTCAACTTTCGGACACTCATGCAGAATCGACAGCAAGTCGGTCTAGCGTGAACCCTAGATTCCCTAGACATTGATGTCTGCTGCCTTTCAGAAACCCGAATGCAAGATCCCAGCACTG